GTGATTCACAGCTTTAAGATCAAAATGCCTACAAATTTTGAAAGATTCATGCCCTATTTGGCATGAAATTTCAGAAAAGGCGGAAACCCTAAACCCCGAATTTTTCGTGATCCAAAAACAACCAATTTTTCCACCATTTAATCCTTGAAAAAGCTGAATAAAGCTGTTTACAGCCTGCAAATCAGATCACATGCCAAAAAAAACAAAAAAAATGATAAAAAAATGACAAATTTGAAAGAATCCGTGAAGAACACTGTGCAACCCGTGTTCTTCATGGACTCGCCGATTCCGCACAGTGAATCGGCGAGTCACTGTGCGGAATCGTCCGGTTCTCTCTAGAACCGGACGATTCCCGATTTTTAAACCGATCCGGTCCATTTTCGTGAATTTCGAATCGAACCGAGCGAGTCCGGTTCGACTCGACGATTTTTAAAACGCTGTATGAAAGCCTCACTAAGAAAGAGTTCTAATGGCTACTTGGTCAAACATAAATTTCATAAGGGAAAAGTATGTATAAGGTTGCAACCTTATACTGTTGAGGAAAGGTGCATCTCAAAAATCCTACAGTGGAGAATGTTCCCATATAGGAGAACCCTCCAACTAATCATCTCAACCGTGAGATGAACGTTCATGAAGAAAAAAACAATTTCAAGCTCAAAAAATAGTTTATCTTGTAAAAAGTTATCTAGACCGTCTGTTTTCAAGATTTTCAAGTGATTTGTATCATTTTTAAAATTTTAAATTTTCTAATTGAAGATAAAAAGAGATTTTGAAGCCATTATAAGATTTTTGACGCCAAAACAACATCTCTAAGTAAATTTTATAGGTGCACCCGACTTCTACAGTATAAGGAGGCAACTTTATACAAACCTCACCCATTTCATAATAATATTTATATGTATTAAAATTGATAATGTTATTTTCTCTTCCTCTAAAGATGTCCCTTTCACATATTTTCAACCAGCTTTTTTCACTATTAAAGAGTCTCCCTCATTTAGTCCACACAAGGAGTTGGTGCAACCCCCTCCCAATTTTTAGTATTTTTGTACCCCCCATGAATTATTCCTCCTCAATGATTTCAAAGCTTGGTTTTGACTTAGACTTCCACCCCACATTAATAAGTATAGCAATAACTATGCAAAAGTTATTAAACGCCTCGGGTAAGAGCAATAATGTTGGTTTTCAAAGTTGAAAAAGGCGCGAGATACTTCTCTAAAAATAAGTTAGGTCACATTGCCCTCCCTCTTCCCTCTTCCCTCTTGTAGGGATGGTAAAGTTACTAAAGTGCCCCTCATTCGTTTTATCGCGGAAAGTGTGTTTTGTCATGTAAATTTTTTAGCTTTGCTTTCATTTTGTAGTTATCATTTTTCGTAGATTTGGATGGTTAGTTTTGATATTTCCAATAAGATAAAGAACTTTTAGGGTATCATCCGTTTGTCGGAAATCTCTCTTCAGGGAAAAAATATCAGTTGGCCAAGCCAATTTCCCCATGTTTGGTTTACCGGAAATCTCTCAGGAAAATCTTAGTGGGGAATGCCGTTGTACAAAATGCGGAAATTTTCTACCGTTTCATTGGAAAGTGGCTTCGTATCCAAGGAGGTGTGAGGCTGATTTCTCCAAAAACTCCCTCACGTAGAGAGAGATATCTCCAATGAAGCAAACAATCCCTCGTCTTTTCGATGAATGTATAGTTCTTCTTTCTCATAAAAAAAAAAAAGGTTTATGATTTCGTAATTGTTAGGAACTTAATTTTTAACGAATTCGTACGATTTTGAGTCGGTTCAATTTTTTTAAATACCTAAAACTAATTGATGGAGAGAGAACAGAACCGAATAACTCACTATTATAGTGTATGCGGAGATCTGTTCTCTCTCTCTATCATCTTTCAAACTTCAAACCATATATCAAACCTTAAAGATCCACGTGACCTCATCTTTCATGTGGTCACGGGGATCAAGACATTCTTTGCCTTGTATCTTAAGGTGCCTAAAGTTGATAGTGCCACGCGTGTCGCAAACGTATCGGCCTTTTTTAGGGTTGACATATGACACACGACACATGCAATGGAAGAAAAAAACTTGATCACAGTGGTTGGCCTCAATTATAAAAAGAATTACAAAAATAGCAAAAATAAATATGGACACAAAAGAATAGGGTCCCACTGCTTAGGTAGTGGTCCAATCAATGCCTTTTTGTTTGGCCCAACTTTTGATCCGAGGGGCCACCTTCAATTTTCTTCTAGCCATCCTCCAAATCTCCACCGTTGGATCTAAAACGTGTGGGTGAACAACAACCCGAAATTGCTTGCCCCACTCATAAATTGGTATCCTTCCACCACACGTGTGCTCCCTGTGAAAGGCGACACAAACCACTCGCATGTGTGTTTGATTTGTCAAGCAATGTTTATGCTATTCACTCACACGTGTGCTGACCTGTTCTAGGAAGTATCGTGCTCCTTACCTGGCCTCGACTTCCTCCGACTCCTGGACCTCTTCGAGCGGGTGCAGGCAGGCGGCCAGCGCCCGCTCGAGGCTTGCGACGACCTCGCCCATCGACGGCCGGTTTTTCTCGTCGGGGCTCACGCAGTCGGCAGACATATACCCCACATATGCCACCGCCTCGATCTCGTACGGCCTTGGCGGAGGCAGTCTTGGATCCAGCACTTTATGGATCTCATCGGCAACGATGTAGGGGACTGCATAGTCGACCACATTCGTCGGTGCGCCGGTCTCGTGGTCCTTGTGGATTGCCCTGAGCCCTGTGAGTAGTTCTAGGAGCAGGACACCGAAGCTGTAGACATCACTCTTCATCGTGAGCCGATGGAGTCTGTAATAGGACGGGTCCATGTACCCGACGGTCCCGGCAGCTCGAATTGACAAGTGGGAAGCTCCGTCTTCCCCGCCTGGGGGGCCCATGAGCGAGAGCCCAAAGTCTGAGACCTTCGCTGTCCAGGTGCTATCCAAGAGAATATTTGAGGGCTTGATGTCACGGTGTATGATCGAGGGCACGGCATAGGCGTGGAGGTAATGCACGCCTCGAGCCGCGTCGAGGGCCACCCGAATGCGGCCTGGCCAGGTTCGAAGAGGTGAGAGGAGATGGGCTTGGGCCTCGGCCTCTGTCTGGGCTTGGTCAGGGGGGTGGAGGTGGTCGTGGAGGGTGCCATTCCGGCAATGCTCATATACCAGAATGCGCTCATTGTCGTGCTTGCAGAAACCGAGAAGCTCGACGAGGTTGCGGTGGTTGAGGCGCGAGAGGGCCGCAAGCTCAGATTGGAAGGCACGATCATTGTCCACTCGCCCGGTGCCGCCTGCAGAGGCCTCCGCCCGCTTCACTGCAACTACATTGCCATCCTCCAGCATTGCTCTGTACACTGAACCAAAGCCCCCTGACCCGATCTTGTGCTTCTCTGAGAACCCCTCCGTGGCCTGCTCGAGAGCCCGGAACTCGAACTCCTCAAGCTTGCTGCCCCCTGAATTGCTTAGTATAGTGCTGAGCCTCGACGTTCGCCGTGAAATGCCATGCACCTTGACAGATAATGCAGAGCCGGTGCGTTGAGGTTGCCCCTGCCTGTCTCCAGAGCCGGTTGTGCCTGCGCTTGGCAGGCGGGGGGCGTCATCCAGCGGTCCTGAATCGTGCACTTGGCACCTCCGCCCCTTATAACACCGGACCAAGATGACGCACAAGGCAGACACCAGTGTTATGCCCATTCCTGTGCAGCCCACTGCTAAATACGCAACGTTCCGTCTGCTCACTCCACCGCCACTTCGCGCAGTCTGTGTCGGGTTCTCATTTTGTTGTGGCGGTGGCGGGAAATTCACCGAAGGCTTCGGTGCCGGAGTTGTTTGGTTCCGAAAGAGATCACAAGGCTCACAAACCTGTCGATTTCCAGAGCAAATCCCAGAGCCAATGCCCGTGCCAGGAAGACCCTTACTGCAACTGCAATTCTCAGCGCAAGGAGCTGGTAGCGCCTGCGCCAAGGCCTGCCATGTCCGAAAATCACCCCCCCAACAAACAACTGAAAAATTAAATTCATTAACCCCACAAAACACATTACCCTCTGCAACTATTGAGATGAACCTAACATCGGATGGGGATTCGAAACCCGGACCTCTTTGGCTGCCCCAGCACACAACCGCACCGTTCTGGGCTCGTCGAGCGCACCCACCATTTGAGCCCACAGCTAGCCCATTGAATTCAAATGGCTCGTGTACAGGCACTGCTGGGAAAGTTGTATCGCCCCAACAGACCACCATTCCGGCTAATGTGATCCCGCAAATTTCCCGGATTCCTGCTACCAGTAGCTGGAATCTTACATTTGGGACAGTGCTCAAAGCTCTCGAATCCTGTCGTCCAAAACACCGGGCCTGAGTGCCAGTCTCTGGAATCCCACACACAAAGTCTTCCCCCACAGCAATTCCAGATAGAATTCCGGTGGGGCGGGGGTCAGATTCCGGCCATCTCAGACAAATAGGCCAGGAATTCGCCAGGGCGCAGAGGCGAGCACCGCCCGCCCCCAACTCCAACACAGTGAGGTTCTTAGATATGCGTTTAGGGGGGGGTGGGGTCCCGCCGGAGAAATTCCAGAACTCCCACGAATGGATGTTCGGGATATCTTGCCTGAGAGCGTAGAGCGTTGAGTTTGCGGCCACGATTCCGGCGAAGGAGACGTTGGGGAGGAGAGCGAAGGTGGTGCTGTTGAGTTGGGGTGAGGAACATTGGATGGCCTGGTTTTCAGAGGACTGTTGGATGGCGCAAACAATTGTGAGGTTCGGGGTGGTGACGATCGCTAGTGTAGAGAGAGAGGAGGTGGGGAGGAGGGTGGAGGAGAGAGAGAGGTAGAAGAGGAGGAGGTAGAAGGAGAGGAGTGTGTTGTTGGGTGCCATGGATTTGGGGTTGAAGGTTTTGAAAGTGAAGAAGAGCTGATGAGTTTCATGGTTTGCACTTCGTAGCCGAGAGAGGAAGGGGATGGAGGGGAGAGAGAGTGGATTTTATGGAATGGCGTTTGAATGGGTTGGGTCATATATGAGAGAGACGCGCTTAAGAGGACCAGAGGCTTTGTAGACTTGGTCTGGTTTGAATGCTTTGTGCCAGTGTAGAGTCAAAGCGCAAAGAGAGAGATTTTGGGGCACCTATTTGCAATTTTACCTAGATGGGTCCGTAGACAGAGGGATTGTGGGACCTGTCTTTGCAATTTTATAGGGGTGTCTCAGTCTCAAATGCATCAGAGAGAGAATTGTGGGGTATCTCTGCTTGCAATTTCAGAGAGGTGCTCAGTCTAAATCCACTGGAGATAGAGACACCGAGATGAATGATGGCGGTTTAGCTATATAAATGCATAGAATGTCAAACTCACCTACATTTGAGCAGCTTCGGGTGGATAGGCTGGATCGCTCCAATGGTTAAAAATTTAGGGGTGGCAATGGGCTGGGCGGCTGGGGTTGGAGGCCGGGTCAGGGTTGGCTTGTGCTGGACCTATACCTGGACTTGAATAGTATTTGGATCCAAACCCGACCTTTCGGGTAAAAAATCTGGATCCATACCCAGACCCAATATCATAACTACCAATTAGATCTTGGGTCTGGTACGGCCCATTGGATGAGTTTTTTATTTTTTTTTTCTACCCTTTTCCCATTATATACGGCATACACCCATTTCATTGGCAACATTTAAAGTATGTCACAACATTTATGAATACCCAGACATATCCAAATTCTTTACTATTTTATGTAATAATTGGAAATTCCTAAAAAAATAATAACTAAAGATTTCTAAGAAACAAACGTATTGGCAATATTTATGAATACCCACATATATGCTATATTATTTGGATGGGGTCTGGCTTGACCTGGACCTAACCTTTCAAGTAAAAAATTTGGACCCATACCCGGACCCGATATTGGGTCTACTCGTCGGGTTCCAGGTCTAGTCAGGTCCATTGCAACCCCTACGGGTGGTCCAACCAGGCCGGTCCTCAGAACCTAAGAAGTGGGCTGCGAAATGTGGCTTAAGGGCGAAGCCAGGGCCAGATAACCACGACCCGAGGGTAGGGTAGGGCTTGAGCAAAGCGTGGTTTGATTCGGCTTGCCCCGGCCCTGAGAGTACCAGGGCTGGGCTGGGCTGGGCTGGGCTGGGTTGGGGCCATACCTTTTTGGCCCAGGCGAGCACAACTTGTTGCCACCCCTACCATTGGGTGAACAGGTCGAATCAGCAGTGCAACAAAAAATTAAAGAAAAAAATGCAAAAAATAAATGCGTAGAGTTATTTTTCGTGTATTTTATAACGATTTAAGTTTTAAATCATTAAAAGCATTTATTTCGTATAATAGAGAGTAGAGTTGATTTTTCAATTCCAGGAGCAAATTAGTTCGGTCATCCTTTGACCTCATAATGATTAGTGATTTTTTATTTGGATAAGTGATTTTTAAAATCGTGTACTTGAGAATTTTAAGGGTTCCCAAGAGAAGCCGTCAAAAGTGTTTGATTGATAGAAACTTTACCTTCGAACCAATATAGAGGGAGTATAGATGCTATGAGTGGAGCATACTATACACTTATCTCCTTTGGTGAATTTCTAGAGAATTTTTTCGACTCAATTTTTGGGATCCCCTTAAGAGTCACCGTACGATTATTTTCAAAAAAGAAAATTCGATTTTGAGTTCCTAAATACTTAGAACTCGCCAATTAAAATTGGATGTTCTTTATTCAATATGGAGAGAGATTTTCCGATAAAACAAACATGCATTTAAATTTGTTAATGGGAATATCCATAGACACGGTGTGAATCCTATGAGGTCTACAAATAGGCACCACCGACCATTTTGACATGGGAGACGCGTTGTTCCACTGAGCAAAATATAATAACTGATCTTAACCGTAAGATAATGAAAATGAAAATGGACAGTGGATGGCATATGTGGCCCATACTATACACGTAAATTTTTTTTTTTTGGGTAATTCAGTAGGAAAAACACGCCCCTACCTATTTATTCAAGCCCCTTTCCCCTATACACGCGATATGTATAATATATTTTATATACATCTCATCCAGTGGCACACCAGTGATGATTAAAGAAATCAAAATGCTATTGGTCAACTTCAAAATGGTACATTAGATCAATACTTTTTTTAAAATACCGGTAAGGATCAAAATCGCCATATATGAATTGGGAATTAGTGAGAACCAATCTAGTTCTTGATCAGAATTGGAAATTAGGTTAGTTTCTGAATAATCGGGCAATTCTATTAGGGAACTAGACAATCGGGCAATATCGAAAAGTCTCCACAATTTATATTTTATTTTTATTATTTTTATTTTTTTATTGACTAATTCTCGCCCGAAGAATAGGTCAAATTGCTGATCCAGATCGTCAATTTGCCAATCCGGACTAATTTCTTGATGGCCGGTTCACCTGGCCAATCCAGGTTTTAAAACACCACTAACTTGAATCGAAGAAATCCTATACGGAGGCACACTCACTTGATCTGGTCAATTTTTTTCGAGTAAAAAAAGTATTTTGTATATACTCAATTTTGCGAAATCAGTTTTCTATCCAATGAAGTAAATTATGTGAATACCTGAGGTCCCTCGCAAAAAATTGACCATTCATCACTCCTGCGATTGTGGGAATACTTGGTCATGTATTCTTATTTACATTTCATAGTTTCAATCCGTTGATTTTTCTTTCTTTTTGGTCTCTCATAATGACTCGAGTGTCCAATTTAGGATTAGTTTTATTCATTTATTTTCTTTAGTGGTTACTTAGAGCTGTATAATTTAAGTTTGTCATACTTGAACATAAAGCTTTTCTTTACACTTCTATAAAATAATCTCTCTCTCTCTCTTTCGTCCCTTTGATAGGAGTATCAATGGATCCGGACCCAACGTCTTGGGTCCGGGTATGGGTTCAAGAATATGACCTGGCAGATCGGATTGGGGTCTGGCTCCACTTGGATCAACTCGAATAGTGTTATTATATAAATAATAATTAATATGTAATATTTAAATAAATATAACTATATATTTTAATTATAATATGTAAATAATACATACACACACACACACACACATATATATATATATATATATTGGGATAGGGTCCAATCGGGTCTGATCCGTTTCGATCCAGTTGTGTTTGATAACTTCGGGTCCAGGTCCAGCGGTACCCGTTGCCAGCCCGACCATTTGATATGTAGCATCAAGGGGGCTCTTATTCTGAGTTTATTTCCATGTATTTTTGTATTAAATGCTTCTACCTTAGGATCGCCGTTCCTTACTCAACTTGTTCATTTTTTTGGAATTAATTTGTTTTTTCTCTATGTTCATTAGCTTAGTGGGGTTTGGCTGATGCTTAGTTTGCTAAATTTAGCTATACTAAATCCGCTGAGGGATTATACACTGTCATATACCATCAGACCATTTATTATTGTTACTCATTTTTTGCCATTTGATGTTGAGGTGAGTAATGGAATTCAAGAAATCCTTTTTGGAACGTGACACGCAATTTAAAACAATTATTCACTATTGTTGAAAAAAGTTAGGTTTAAGCTAGACTTGAGCAAAAAGGGTAGCACACATCACATCTAGACCCCAAACTCCAATGAAATGAAAGATCATAAAGTTTATGGTCAAATACATTGGATAATTGATTCATTTGTCTTTGGAAATTTTTAATCCAGAACTCTTTTTTTTTTCTTGACATTATAATCATTTTTATTGAATGAGGAAAATTACAGCAGAAGAATTACGTCATTATTGACCAAAGATTGCTGATTTTGTTCTAGAACTTAGACTGGGATTAATATGTATCTCTTTTCTAAAACCAGGATAGCTTATTGTCTCCAAGAATTTGTGACATTTTGCTGGAATGTTTCCATGAAATCTCTTGAAGCCGTTATCCTTCTCCACTTTCTTCTTTTTCGTGTGCTTTGGTTCAAATTATTTGTCTTGTGACTTTGTGGTCCTATTTCAAGTCTTCGCATATGTGAGTCTTTAACCATTCTCTCCCCTCCTCTCTCTCTCTCTCTCTCTCTATCCAGTGGTCCCTCTGTCCATCATATTAGGCTTTCAGTTTTTCATCTCCTCATCTAGGGGTGGCAATGGGTCTAGGTTTTGGACATGGAGTCGATCCATCGGGTTCAAAAATTGGACCCATATCCGTACCCATCAAGTCCTAGGTCTATCAAATCGGGTCCCGGGTCTGGTCAAGGTTCATTGACACCCTCACTATGAGCTTCTTTTCTTTTTTTTCCCAATTTTTTTACCAATGTATACCTATATTATTGGCAACAAGATGGCAATCACCCGTCATTAGATTTCAAATTGTATGATTTGTCGTTTAATAGCAAAAGATGAGTATGAGTTATTAGTGTATACGCTTCAACAGTTTACATGTATGGGTCGGGTCCAATCAAACCTGGATCCGAATAGTATTGGAGTCCAAGTTTTGGACCTAAACACAATCCATCGGGTCTAAATGTTGGTCCTATACCCGGACCCGTATTAGGTATACCCGGTGGGACTCATGTTGGGTCCGGCTCCATTGTCACCCCTATCCTACATCATAAAAACAACCCTTCCCTCCTCCTTTTCTTTATCTCTCTCAGCCTTTTTTTTATTTTTTTGACAAGGTTATATAGGAATGGAACTTTTTTTTTTTTTGACAAATATTACATAGGAATGGAACTTGAGAGATATTGCTGTGAAAACCTAACTGTTGTTGCCTTGACCCAAACCTGATTCCTAAATCTCTCAGTCTTTTTCCCCAATGTAAAATTACATCAATGTTAGATGACTCACCCAAGTCCACTAGAACTCGTGCTTAGAAGTGAGGTCGGATTATCGGAGTTGTGTGTATACCTTGGGCCATCAAAGGTTCAGCTCGGGTCTGGATGAGGCCAAAGGTGCCCTAGCCCAGGCTTGCTCTACTTTTGTACAAGATGATCCAGTCCGGCCAAGTTCATGGAACCAATGTTATCAAGATTGGATTGCC